CGTTTGCAACCATATGTGCTCACTGTCCTTGGCTTCCGAACCCTTGAGTCGGGAGAGCCCAATCACATTCACCTTCAACGCATTGGATACAGGTTTTACACAGGCTCTCGTCGTCGCTTCCAACACACACCTGCGCTTGCAAATAACTCACGTCGTGGTAGCCACTGGGTAGGCATGCGAAGCCTGTGTCCAAGACGGTGAAGCCTCCGCAGTGAAATAACGCTATTAGGCGGTCGGTAGAGTTTGTCTGATCTAAAGACTCGTCGAATAATCTCCACAATACTGATGCGATGCTGCCATCGTACATCAGCAATGCTCCGTAGGTAGCCGGTGATCTAGGACAGGTAACCTCTGAACATCACTTTTGTCAATGGGCCAAGTCTCACAATCACACACCTGAACTTGTCACACCGCTGCATTGTGGACTTGGCCATTTAGAACAATGTTGAGATCATGACGGCGCCACGAGTGACAGAGGTTTGCAAAAGGTGCACTAGCCTTGGAGATGCGCAAGGTGATCTCACCCATTAAACAGCTAATGCTACGATAACTCCCAGGTAACTGCATTTGTCGACCACTTTCAGTGGATGCCGCGGAGGGATGAGAGAGAGACGCACTTCGTCAATCGGACAACGAGGCATTACACCTGGAAGGACATAATTTAGTCCAAATCGCATGTAACTCTGGTTACTAGGTCACCGCCCCACGCTGTCCACAATTTTGACTACAAAGGCTGAAGTACTGCGCATGCTTCCCGTTTTTTTTGCTTTTGGACACGAAATTCTCCGTCAGCTGAAATCAGATATCCATAAAACTTTTAGTGAAACTTTGCCCTGTTGGCTCGATGCAAATCCTAAAAATTCAGTTCAGCACTGTGCGCAGCTTCAGCACTTGGTCCGAAGACATTGCCACTCGCCTCTTCGTCGCGATAATACGACCAATGATAGAGTACGGCTCTCCCGCATATTGTCCCATCACGCTGGGCGAGGTAGAAAAGCTTGAGCGGGTGCAGCATGTATCCACTAGGCTGATTCTCAACTTACGAGGTATGCCATATGAAGACCGATGTAAGAAACTAGGGCTGTACACCCTAGCATATCGTCGGCTGAGGGTTGACCTAATCATGACGCACCGGATATTACGTCTGAGTGATTATCCCATGTTGAGACAACTGCTTCATCTGCGCACACCAAACAGCAAGCGAGGACACCGGTACAAACTTATCGTACCGCAGTTGAAGCGGGTAGCTCACCAACTCTGTTTCGAACGTAGAGTGGCGAATACCTGGAACAACCTGTCGCAGCCGATAATAGAGGCGAATTCAGAAGCTTCTACACAAACACTTTGCAGAGGCAAAACATAGAGAGCGGAACGATAATTAATACGTTAATGTCCAAGAGCGAAAATTGATGCAGCTACGCAGAGTATGCTCTACTCGCTGCTTCTAATCAGTATCAGTATCATTTGTCTCGAAAGCGGAGCCGTTTACTCTGTGGATTGCTACTCAGCTGCTAGTCGAAAGCTATGGCGCACATAAGAGGTGTGGAGAGGATGAGAATACGAAGAACAAAGAAGGCATCAGCAGTGCGCCGGTACACGCAGTACCGACGCTTCGCTGCCGCGCAACCACCACCGGTCGCACGCGGGCTAAGGATACTGCGATGGTCGCAGTGCCCGTACGCAGGATCGAACCAGCGATCTTAGATTACCAGGTAAGTTTGTGATCCTTAAGGCTACGGGCCGGCAATAAAGAGAACAGTAAGATCGGATGTGTATAGACAGGAACCACAAAGAATGGAGAGTAGGTAAGCAAGCGCAAGAGCAGCGTAGCAGCGCGGCTCACCAGGAGCGCGCAACTGAACGGGATGTCCAATCGGCAAAATAAATGGACAGTCGGAAGACACAACAAGAATAAAACCTAATGGGCGTCTTCCGTATCTAGATATTCTCATGAGTCGCAGTCATACTGGGCTGATTAGGCGATCTGTATACCGGAAACCAACGAGGTCCGGCCAATATCTACATTTCACTAGCTTCTCACCGATGGCACACAAGCGCGCGCTAGTAAAAACATTATTCAATCGGGCCAGACGTATCTGCTCCAACGACTGCCTGTCTGAAGAGTTTGGGCTGATCACTAAAACACTTATGGAGAATGGCTACCCAAAACGATTCATAGTAAACTTATCCAAGTTAGACTGCCAAAGGAGATGGTGTTGACAGCCCCCAAGAAGAAGGTGTACATTGAGCTACCGTGCAAGGGTGACACCGCAGCAAGAACGCATTGTCTCGGCTATTCAGCGCACATACTGTGCTACGGAGGCAGTAATTATCAACATAGCCCGAAAGTTGCCGTTACCTTCAGTAAAGGAAGATGAACCTGTCGACGCCAAATCACCTTGTGTCTACCAATTCGTGTGTGACTGCGGTATCAGTTACATCGGCAGGACCGAACGGGTTTTAGATTCCCGAGTGAAGGAACACTTACCAAACTGGGTTCAGCGCGAAGTTACTCAATCCACCTCCGATGATACGTGCTCGCGCAAGCCACCAGCTTCCTCCATAGGCAGGCACATGTTGGCGACTCGTCACCGGGTTAACCCCTTATCAGCGTTCCGGATCTTGTTACGTCATACTAATGCGCGCCTCTTAGAATTTGCCGAGGTCGTCGCGATAAGCCGAATTAGACCAGCTTTGTGTGTCCAAAAGCAATTAGTTGTCAACCTGCGGTTGCCGTGGTCCTACTCCCAACAACAATGACCACAACCATAAATTTGATTGGCTTGACTGTGCCGTGTAAGACATACAAAAGGATTTCCCTGTTATTGTATTGGTACTGATGAGAGAATACGAAATGCTAGCATCTGCCAATATTTGTCTTCTCATTTCGTTGTTCAAAACCTAATGTCTCAACGCACTGAAAACGTAAATGTTAAATGTTCACTACAACTCGCGTAACATTTCAATTTTTGTCCATTTGTCCACCCACCTGTACCACGTTACATTTGTGATGGTGGCCATTTTTAGAGTCCATTTACAGTTGATAATGTAAAGTGCTAAACATGCACCCGTTTTGGTTACCTAAACCTCAAGGTGACTTGATTTGCAATGCGCAGGCGATCGATTTGTTATCTTCACCTGGAATATATCGGGACTGGAATCCGCTAGGGGACATTCTCAATTTCTTTTCACTATACTAACTATGGATCGTGTACCGATGTGGGGCGGATCCACTTGGCCTGGGAACTGGGCAACGCGTATTGTTGTCAGACGGAATAGTTAAGAGTCGGGAATTAGAGAACGATCGCATGCACTTCACTGTTGGCATCTTATGCTCTTGGGTTTTGAGACAAGTTGTATGGTCTGTTCCGAGCATCCTATCCAGAAAGACGGAAGTACACACCCGAGCTAACTTTTTCAAGAATTTCCTCACGCCTTTTGTCATGCCCTTGACGGACCACCATCACGGGGTAGTGCACAGTTAGGCGCGAAACTGGCAACCACTGCAGACCGAATCATGACGGAGCTACCGAACGGGATCCGATTTCATCGGGGTCTGCGCTCATTTATTGTACACTCTCCTTTCATCCTTTCGCTCTGCATATATATGAGTTTCACAATTACATCTGCATACGAGGCCACTCAAGAAGTATCGGTCTTTTCTTAACAAAAACTAAGTTTATTCAGATACGAAATTCAGTAAAATTGCCCTGCTCGAAGAACAAATTAAAACATATAGTCTTACCTTAGTTTCCTTCACAGTAGTCCCATTGGGCGGTTACACATTTCTGTTAACGTGTCCGCCACTGTGGGTAACAGTGCTTGAACGCTTTTTTGAGATGACATACAGTTGCTCGGCCACATTTGGCACGAAGACTTCTCTGAACTGAACTCTGCTTTTTCAGAGCCATGTCACGAGCGTGGGGAGCTTGTCGAACCGCTGGTGTGTTTGGCCAAATAGCTCCCTATCCTATATGAAGAATGTGCTGGTGTTTTATCATTGTCCGGATGAAAATTACTCCTTGCTCACAGATCAGATCATTTGCGTCTTACAGCATCAGAAAAGCGACAGCTTTGGGGATTATTGTACCGTGTGTAGCATGCTCATGATAAACCATGCTCTTGGAATCAGAGAAAACTGTCAGCTTGACTTTGACATCGCTGCGGACCTGTCTTGCTTGTTAGCTCTCTGCAGACGGAAAATCTCGGTCTTTTTCTACGTCGTACTGTCATTGAACACTGCACAAGTTCAGCAGGATGTGTCCGATTCTTTTTGGTTTTGTCTATAGTTCCTCTATATTTGGTTGAAACGGTTCTTCTCCTTTCCTAGGAAGACCTATCATTAAATCACACGTCGATACTGGACCAGTATTGCTGCCCGAATGATTATTGCATGAACTCACAGTTGCTTTTGGCAAAAATTCCCAACCCAAGTTGTGTTTTCTTCAATTTCTTGGGACAAGCAATAGGGCCACATTTCCGCAATTCGGCTTGGTAAATATTTTTATCGCTGTAATCGGTCGATCAGGATAGCTAACAGCAACTTCGTTACAGTTTAGGCCATCATTAAACCCAAGCTCTCTCTTCAAGTTCACTTACCGGAATTTAATTTTTTTAAGCGTGCTTCGACACCGCATTAGACGAACGGAACCCCATTTACTGGCGCAGCTGTGTATCGCAATGAAAGTAACTACGAAGTGTCTCCAAACATTTTTGATTTGGATCAATAGAAACATCGCACATTCCTCCCCGTTTCTGTTATTCGGTAGATCGGCCTACATTGGGATTGTGTGGTCCAGATCAATAACTACTAGACTGGGTTAAATTGAAAAATCTGATTGTGAATCCAGACTTTCCACACACCAATGCAATTTTGCGAAGTCTCATTTAACCTTTCCCATTCTGCTTTCAATATTCGTCTAGTTGTTTGTATCATTTCGTCGACTTACCGACTTTCGTGTCGATTGTTTTTTTCCTCTCCACCCTCGTTTTGCCGTCAGAGCTGGTTGCATTTGAACCATCAGGCTCATTGCCAGTTATCTTCAGCCAAGAGCGGCCAACCAATAACCTGCTCGGTGATCAGTGCGTCGACTGAGGCTTCTCACATACGTCATGCACGAGCCCGAATTTTAAGCCTAATCGGTCGCATCGGGATTAGCACCAGAGAGGCGTGGAAAGTGGACGCTTGCGTTCAACTACTCTGGGATTTGTCTAATGGTACTTACTCCTTACACTCCAGTGACGCAGGGCATCACTTGAAATCCATCAGTACACACGTATCTGCGGCGGATAAGCACTCCGCCGTGTCGGAACGTATTAGCGCTGCGGCTCGCGAGTACAAACATCCTGAACCCATCGAGGCAGCTCTCGCGCAACAGCTGGTGATTCTCCGAGAATTTCGATGCTCCGGGAATGAGCAACGGTTGCGCGCGGTGCGTTGGCTCAAGTCTGCTATCGATAACATTAGCCATGTAAGTGTGTTCGCTTCCTCCTCACGTGTGGGGCAACTCTTGTTCGATTTATCTTCACTTGTTATTTGTCCTGTTGTCTACATGACTATCATGGATTCGGTGCCTCTGATGCCCGTGGCTGGTACTGTGACAACCACGCGTTTTCAACTAACCAGTTATTAGTACCGATGTATACTAGATTGATGTGCCCCATGCTGAGGCTGATGTTGCATTCTTGATGCTTCTTCACCACAGTTGGGCTAAACCAACTTACACTTAAACTAGGTCTTTATAAGGTGCATAAATTTCGTTCCACTTTATTTGGTTTCTTCTGCCTACCTGAATAATGTGCTATTAACTGGCCACGTTGCTTACGCTGAATGCGCTTATCTTCGGTAACTGTTTCGTTTGTAGCATTTTTAAGTAACTTGTGGACATTCTTTTTCCTTATCGCGGATTCATTGCTAACCAAATTACTTCATATGCTAATTTAGCGAAGAGTTATGCCACCGTATCTGTATGCATTATTGGATTTATTTTATTTCATCTTGTCGTTTAAAGTGATGGCTGTTACTTAATATCCCCGGTGTGGCTGCGCTGGATGTGCATGTTGACAAGGTGCCTACCTGTCCATTACCCACTACCTCGTCCATACTGGCTCTATGAGACAGTTGGTCGTTGCTGGAGGGGACGGAGTGCACGGTCCTTGTGGTTGTGCTAGGCTCGAAGAGCAGTTCCATGCACTGAGTGTTGAGCGGACTACGGTCCATCCACCGCCTTGTGTGCGCTTGATTCCCAAATACAGCGTGCTTGCTGAAGGAGTGTTGGCCGGCTCCGTTGATGAAACGTGGCTCCCATCCACATGCCTCCCGGTCTTATTCCTTCGGGTTTACACTGGATATGGGGTGTGTGGATGGAGCTGTGGGTGGTGCAGCTCAAGCCACCAATGGTCCCTCTGTAGGCGCAGGCGTCCTGTGGCTGGCCACAGTGACAGGTAAATCCGAAACCTGATGCCGCCAACCATGCTAGATTGATAGTGGGTAGTGTACTCTGCGGTTCGAGAAAGACTCAATACGACGATTCGATTGTTGATGGCATGGTCGGTGGTCCGGCCTTTACGGAAACCGTGTCATGGGGCACTTACTCCCTATACAAAATGGTGTTGTCGAACTTAGTCGCTGCAGTCATTTTTAACAAATCGCCTCTTTTCGTTTGTGAACCCTCCAATTGTGGGAATTGGTATGTCAATGTCTCAGGTAGGTTCAGCAAATACCCTATTCTGTTCCACACAAATTTAATTTTTCTTTATCACTTGGTTTGGGTGGGTATGCAAGAGCAAGTTACTTACTTGAAGATCATACGTGTTGTGCTCCAACTGCTTCTCGAATGGTTTTTAACACATGAAATTCTTTAACTGAGCGTCCCTTCTTCCTCCTAATCACAACAGTTCGAACTAGCTGAGTGGATTATCGGATTCCGCATTCCTATTCGAGTGCTGCCACTTCGAGTCTGTGTAGGTACACGCAGCTGCTGAAATCCGGATCCTAAAGTCCCCCCATACATATGTATAGACGATCCCATTTCTTCCACCACGTACTACTCAGTCACAATGATTCTGTCATTCCATCCAACTTTGCTCCAAACTGCTTTTTCAACGATTCGACTTTTCAGCTCCATGTAAAAGAAACGTCATTGTAGGGATCACTTCTATTACAGACTGGTTGAATAGCAGTGTCCTATGTATGAACCGTTGTGTTAACTAATCTGATGATGCTTCAACCGTTTTTACAGAATTCTCTGACCTACTTTATGCTGGCCTACGTGAAATCCTTGTTGGAACTGATCTTGCGGAACTTTGTTGGCCGTACCAAACGCGTGAGTGCATGTACCGGAATAAAATTTTTGTTAAACTGCTTCCTCTACACATTTGATTTCTCGCACTTATGATACAGTCCCAAGGCACTATTTTACCCGCACATGCGACGACGGTCGGTTGTGTGAATGAGCGGCTGCGTTTATGCTTGATGCGCACTGTTACCAGGGCTCGTTGTATCGAATGCTACCGCTTTTTGTTCCGACTAGTAGAGCCATCGAAGGCGCTTTTTTCGGAACTTCCTACCATGTGATTAAACGAAATGTGTCCAGGTGTTATTTTTTCATTAGGCTCTTTGGACTTCATTTGATCCAACAAAAGCACGCCTGATCTAAGATTCCGGTCGATTGCGCCGCCAAGGCGTTAAATGCCGTTTTGTAAAAGCCTTCTGTGTTACGTGTATTGTGCGGTGGGACAATGGAGGAGAATTTCGAAGACACTGTACTCGACGTCACTAGTTCGCTGACATTCTGCCATGATTTGTCATCAATCCCGTCATGTAGATAACACTTGCTTGCCTCTTTCTGTTGTCTATTGAATCCTCCTTAAGTCGACCACTCAATGGACTACTGACCAAAGAGATCAAGATGATAGGCAAGTGGTCAACAAAAACTTAGCGTACCTTACTTTCCATTTCTGAGTAGTATGGTCTAAACTTTCTTTTCACGTACATCCTGTTCCGAACATATATTAGATAAGCTTTCACATGATAGCGAACACAGTTAACTGATACAGAACTAAGATAAAACAAACGCAATGTAATTTTCTTAGATAAATCGGTTTTTGAAAAAAAGCATTTTTTTCCGCCTGATATCACAGACGTAACTGAACTGGTTAGCTTGATGGTCGATGAATATTTATTTTCGGCAAAGTCAAATATGGCTCAAGAAATGAGCAGAACAGCACTTTGCCTAGGTGGGATGGATTTACCGACATAATATTAAGCATATGGCTCAATCAAAGCTCGAAGAGCTCGTGTCCATGTTTGTGTTGTTATAATGATTGTGTTTGGTAGACTGCACCTCGCATATAACATCATACACACGTATGATTCCATGGATGGTGGAAATGCACAGGTCGGAAAAGTTGAGAAACCCACTGACAACAGATATTTGGCTGACGCGGGACGGGAATATCCTCTATTGTTTAGGCTGGGCGGATAATGCACGTCAGAGGAGGTTGTCGAGAGTGCAGTTTGTGCATAGTTTCTGATGGCCACTGCGTGACCACCGACGCCATATTTATCAATTTCGTTTTGGTATCATTGAGCCATCCGGTGTGCGTCACAGACAGCAATGTCCATTACCTAAATAGTAGCGTCTCGGTAGATGAGTAGATCTGGTTTGATGTAGGTCTTTTGCGTGGGGATGCGTGATTCGGGAATGACTGCACGACGGTGTAGAATTGTTTCAACTTGTTTGACAATGTCGTTTTGCCGTTTCCAACGTACGCCATGGGTTTTACTGCAAGATTGTCGCACGTGGGAGATTCATTCATACTGCGCAAATGAATCGCGATCATTGAGATCAAATGGGGAACGCAGTGGTTTGCCTCCCACTCGTCTGACTATTGTAGGAAGGACGCTTACGTGTAATTGAGCTGCCCTGATACATCGGTGCATAATGAAGCGTGCAGTTTTCCGGAGCCATTAATGAGCAATTGCATGCGTCGCAATTTGGAGTAAGGGGGATCCGTCAAGTAAGTAGCTGAGTCTTCCATGCATCCTTTGTTGCGGCTTTATCCATCACCGTCTGCCAATCTATAATGAGTGGCGAATTAGATAGTCGTTGTGTCGCGTAGCAGAAAGGTCACGAATGGCTTACCCAAGGATGGCCTTCGGGTTGGGAAGGTGTATCTCCAATCTATCTTTCCGTACTAATGGCAACATGAATGGGAGATTAGGGATATTTCTTTGGAAATTTCATACCGGTATTTCTCTTCACCAATTCCAAAAAAGCAAGAAGCGACCACAGGATATACTGAATTCAGTAATTTCGCGTATTCGCCTCAACTGTTTACAAACAATTTGTGAAAAAACAGGCTACATAGCAAAGACAATCAAAATGTAATGTTATAGGCGAAAATTTAAAGCGGTCGAAAATCGGTGAGTTCATGTGACCCAGTAGGAGGAAAGACGACACTAGGCTCACCAGGGTAGGGCAAAGCTGGTCACGAAGTCCGTTTGTTTGCACAAACTTGGCTTCAACCGTCTAATCGCCGAGGACTCTCCGAACTGAAGTAGACGAGGACTGCTTTGATTGTTGATTACCACGTGGGTTTTCGCACACAGGGCAATCAAGCAGGTAGCGATCAATACAGCTAGTGGACAGTTTCGGGTCATTTGCGACCATGTACCAGGGCACGTGCTCTGCAATCCTCGCTGACAGCGTTCTCTCAGTTCTGCCAAAGTACTTGCTACCGCAAGTACAGGTAAAGAAGTAGATGAACGAAGCGGTAACTTGAGAGTCCGGTCTGTACAGGTTGGATTTGCACAGCAGCCTCCTGACTTGGTGCAATGCGACTAGCTCAGCCGCGTACTAGCACTTCTTCATAGATTGACGAAGACGTTGCCGACATCTTCTGTCCACTTGCTCCCCTTTAAACGGCAGTGTAAAAAGTACCTTTATGTTTGGAACATCTGTTGTTGGTTTATCTTTCGGCTTTGAATTCACGTACCATGTTATAAATCGCTCGGGTTATCCATTCTTTTGTAGTGTCAAGGTGACGCGTTCTAGTTCACCTTCGATAGTCTCCGGAGAGCAAATTTGACGAGATCTAGCAAAAGCCATACGCACTAAAGCTCGCATGTGGTTCATAGGGAGAAAGCTATTAGATTTCAGATATTATCCCATCCATGTTGGTTTTTTGTACACAGACTGAACGAGTGTACCGTCTAGCCTTCGCTATCAGTTTTCATCCAGGAAATGGAAAGATCCATCGGATTCGTTTTCTATCGTGAATTTGATCGTTGGATGGTACTTATTCACCATTTCCACTAGGTATGCCGCCTGCTGAGGAATGTCAACAACGACGAATGTGTCGTCCACATACCGATCATAAGGTGTACATTCTGTATATAAGAACGTATTACGGTGTTTTCCAATTGTCCCAAAAAGATACCAGCCGAAACTGGGCATAATGGACTGCTCATGAGCACGCCGTCGGTTTGTCCATACAGGGTTCCATTGACTTGGAACTGAATATCTTTAGTGCATAAGCAAAGTTGCGATGCTGGGATCCCGACATCAGCATGACTGGCTATTATATCTAGCGTTTCTTCCAAAGGGAGATTGATGAATAACGACGATACATCGAAAGAGATCATGTGCTTCCCTTTTACGTCTAAATCACATGTTGCAAAATTCAGGTTTATCTCATACGTTGTACCGTGTCAATCCCTTCTGGATGGGCTCGATGAGTTTCGCTTGCCATCGGGCTAATTTTTGATACGGTCTACAATTGAGACGATTGGACGTACGGGGATGCCCACTTTAGGAGTTCGGTAAGCCTACGAGACAACGCATGCTAATGTTTAGCGTGAGTGATTGCGAACTTCTGCTAATCCACTTCAACTTCTTAAGTCGCCACGTAAAAACAATTTACCGGATAACGTTCGGAACTTGCGTAGATTAACTAGATCCCACATTACAGTCACTGTTCAGCGCATTGCTGAATTAAACACCAAAATTAGAAGCGTAGATCAAGTACCTAATTATTCAAATTCTGTATGCCGGGCCAAATGCTTCAACTTCCTTCGCACTCTATTGCTGAAAACGCGCTCAACTACCAGAAAGCAACTGATGATTCCCATGTCACTGGAATCTTTCAACGACCAGATGCCGTTCGAACCTGAGAAGTATGGGTATGAGTCGTCACCAACTTGAAACTTTATCGCTAGGTTTCAATTTTCCGGTTCCATGAAATAAATGCAACAGAACAGACTCGGACTAAGAATCTGTATGATCAATTGGCCAGTCTAACACCACTCAACGGAGATGCAAGTGGCTGGTTTAGAGCTTGATTGATAGATTTCACCAACCAGTTCTGTGCAAATGTAAAAGTGCAGAATTCGAGCACAGGATCATTGGGAATCCTTAATGCGGCTGCAACGAAATGAAAATGTGGTAATACTAAAACATGAAAAGGGATCAAGAGTTATCAACTTGGAGAAGAAAGACTACATTCAGAAAGTTCAAACAATTCTGGCAGACCCTAACCGCTTCGTTCGTGATGTGGTAGGCTACGAAAATAATCGAACAGATGGAGAAGTCAATAGTCCTACAATTGAGGAAGCTAATGAAGGCCGGATTGATTGGCGCAAAAACTATGACACAACTCCGTTCGTCATCGGCGATCTCGACTTGCCCAAAAGTATGGCTTACCGTAACTCCTAAAATGGGCATTCCCTACGTCCAATCGTCTCAATGGTCATCATCATCATCATTACACGTTAGCTGGAGGTGGAAAACACCTCAGCCATTGTACCGCAACACAAAACACAGGAAAAGAAAAACAAACATTGGCACGCCCGCTGAGTCTCCAATAACGGATGGACACCGTTCCGGAGAGCTAACAGCTGGCTGCCGTAAAAGAAAGTCATATTATGCCTAAAAAGTGAGATAGTGATTGGAGGAGGATGCTAAGCAGGAGGGGGATGGACAAAGGAACTCACAACACAAACGCCATTGGAGTCAGCTCCAAGACTTATCAGCGTGTCCAACCAAACGTGTTCACCGTCCTTAGGACCCCAGCCAGGCAGTCGGGATGCACCAACCGATGCCAACTTCGAAGTGAGGGTTTTCATCTCTCTCGACCAAGTCATCACTTGGCCTCCCCTCCTCCTCTTCCAACCGCACCCACAACGCGCAAACAATACATGTCGTGGGAGTCGGTATGCTGGCATGCGCAACACGTGGCCAAGCCATCGGAGCCTGGTGCGTGATATAATGGTGCTGAGCGGTTCACTCGCTCTTCCTGTACCAAATACGCGACGCCGAACACG